GTCCAAACTGTTTAAAAAACTAACTTTTTCTTACAAATTTTAATATTTTATGCAAACAAAACATGCACCACATAATTTCGACGCAGAAATTTTTCGAAACTTTTACTTTTATTGCCCAAGAAATGAGATTTTCTACCTAGTTGTTAGATTCTGTGGTCGCGTCCATTTCCTAGCTTCACCACAGCTTGTTTCACTCCATTTGGCAGTAGTAGTGGCTCATTGTGCGTCTATCCGCACCGTGCGACATGAAGGAATTTAAATTGCCAATAAAGAATGATTACACCTCGAACGCGCCGAGTGAAACTTGTCTTTTTCATTGACGCAATCACCTCTTTTATTTTTTTACGGCGATCCCTATGAATTTATAAGGTGTGCGCGCACATCTTGCCGCTTTTACCCCATATGGCAACAAATTCGAGCAGAAGCAGGTGCAGGTGTCTTCAATTAACTGCCCGGTAAATTGAATTTCAACGAATAAATCGGCCTCCACCCGGAGTAATTTACTTTCCGGAGTTAATAACGTAATTATTTGTGATTTAGGCGTTATTTTTAACTTTTTTTTTGTGTTTATGCTTTATATACGAATTTCATTTTGAATGATTAATGATGCGTGCGGGATTTTACGCGTCCGCACATAGATTACTATGATTTATCTGTGTCTCGGACGGAATTTGTTGCGGTGTGGAATTTTGTTACACTTGTTATACTTATTGCGATGCAATTGAAATTCAATGAAACGAGCAAGAGCAGTGCATCCACTATCCACATTAATCATATTCACATTCTGCAAGTTATTATTAACCACTAGCTTAATAGCAAACATGGAAAAAATTAAAAAAATCTCGTGAAATTTATTGCTTTTCCATTTATTAAAAGAAATTTATATGGAGTCATTTTTTAAATAATATTCTTTGGTTTTTCTGTGTGCTGCGTATCTTCTTCTTGTGTCTGTTCTGTGAGGATCCGCGCCTCTGCGAGGAATGTTGTTATGCGCTTATGTAGTAAGATGTTGTTTATTTGTTTGTCGATGCGAACGCGATGCGATTCGTGATAGTATGCTGGCGCGAAGATGTGCGCCAGCGTGGTGCTGTGTGTGCTGATCTCGGTTGATTCTTGATCGCGGCGCAATTGCTGCCATCAACGGCCGCCGGCGAGACGAAAGTGGGAGGCAAGGCGACTCGTGCGAGAATGTGATATCACCTTTGTTTTCGTTTTGTTCTCTTTGATCTCGCGAGGAATGCAATCATTTTTATTCTGGTGTAATGAAACGGCTGCGTTTTGTTTATCTCATTTTAATTGAATTCTTATAACGCTTGTGTAACGTGATAAGGGTGTACAATTACGCGTTATTTTAACTTTTGTTAATTTGTTATTTATTTGTTTTCGTGTTACATTAGGCCAGGTGTAATATTAAAAATAAAAGTTAAAAGTCAATTTAGATAACAAAAATCAAAAACACGCATTGGAAATTAGGTTATATCTCGGGAATCGTTTTAGTTATTTGTATAATCTCTTCATATTTAGATAGTATAAGAATTGTTCTAAACGATGCATGTTTACCGCCCGAAAGAATATGACGGGAATATTCCTAATAACTCAGTCAAATTTGTCACATTTTTCGAATTTTAGTTTTTCGATTCAGGTCGAAGAAATTAGGCTTTATCTTCCGAATCATTTTAGATTTTTGTATGCTTTCTTCATATTTAGATAGCCCTAGAGTTGCTCTTTACGATGCATGCTTACCGCCCCCAAAAATATCACTGGAATACTCTTTAATACGCAATCAAAATTATCCAATTTTTTAAAATAAAATTATAATATAGGTAATAATAAATAAGTAAAATTCAACTTATATTACTCGCTGATATTGCAGCTTTCTAAAAGTAACAAGAATCCATAAAAACGCCAAGAATTTTCTCTTGATCATATTAAAAAATGTTCTCTAGTGAAAAAAGCTTTATGTACAAAAAAAAATACCTCAACGTTATAAGGGCGTATAATGCCCGCTCTGCGTTGTGTATAATTTCTGAATTTAGACCAGGTTTACACATGTAAGTCGTAAGTGGTGGAACGCGAAATAATTTTTTTTTTATCTCTCGTACCAGCCGGAATCTAACGGATGTAAATAACCATGCTCGATCTGCGCGCATATTTCCATTGCAGGCGTGCAGCGTAAACGGCGCGAACACGCGAACATGCAACAACGTTTCCAACGGATTTCTAATAGCGCCGAGGTGTTTTAATTATTTTTGCGCGCTCTTGAATACACAAACGCGCCGAGCGGCGAAAAGCATTTAACGATTCGTTTGCTGCTTTTTTGAATAATAAATAAATTACGTATTGATTGCAAAAATAAGTATGATTAATGCCTGCCAGATTCCAGCCGTACAAGGAGAATATTTCTACGCGAGAATACATTCCAAACTAATTTCTAACTGAGTATTAAATTGAAAAATTTCGTTTTTTGCTCTCTTCGTTTTATTCTTTGAAATAAATTGTTTGTTTTATTATTATTAGGCTGAGTGCTTCTTGTATTTTTTATTTTTTTTTTATTTTTATGTGTATTCGTGAGCGTTTTGTATGTAGTATGAATTTATGATGATGTTCTCATGACTTGTTTCCTATTAGCTACTGTTGTGAGAGTTAATAGTCGGGACGAGTGAGTCGGTGGCTTGTAAAATTGTACAAGATAAAGAATCTAGTCGACATGGCGCGTACTCGCGCGTTGTGTGAGCAAAAAGAGCGTGATATATTTCGAATGGGATATATAGAATATCCCATCGCTAATGTAGCCGCTAATGAGGTGAATTAATCTATGTCACTGCGCACGATTATGCTACTTACGGCGATGCGGAGAGCCGCGTCTCTCGTGGTCGTGCGTTTCCGTCATGAAGGTGTCACGCAAAAAGTTGAATGGATAAGAAGCTCAAGGAAAAACTTTTGATTTGAATGGATAGGTTGAAAAAGACATGGAAATTGTTTTTATTTTTTTTTTTGTTTTTGTTAAGAATGAAATTGTTTTGTTGTGCGCTAGTTGGGTTAGTGGACAAAGTGGAAAACACAGGTACTTCCTCGTTGTAGTTGTTTAATTGCATGATTTAGGCGAGTCCTGTTGCGTTCGGTGCTCCACATAATTGCCGCCGTGCGCGTAATTACGCACCGCGTTTACTGTATTAAACTCGATGGCTAATGAGCAAGCAATCATCTTTGTTCGCTATCTTAACGGTGGAAAAAAGTTGAAAACTCATAAAATGGAGAAGTATTTGATTTGATTTGGTTTGATTAAAGTCGGCAGGAGACAACAAACATACCTAATTACTATTTTATACCAAATTTTACAACCCAAAAATGAAATTTTGTTTCGTTTACTGTAGTTTTTCCAACGAATTACATATGCAACCAATAATACAGTACTTTAGTTGTAAATTTACCGGTAGGGGACCAGAAACATAAGCTTCGACAATTACCTATTAGAATATTGGCGTTAAACTGTTGTTTTCGGAACGAATTGCTTATGCAACCAAAAATACATTACTTTAGTTGTAAATTTACCGGTAGAGGGCCAGAAACATCCTAACCTTCGATAATTATACGCGTTATTTGCGTTGAAATATGTGTGTTTTTGGTATACTAATGATAATGAAGCTTAAAATTACTTCAGGTAGTGAAATATTAGAAGATTCACGCAGTAAGTTGATTGTTTATGGTTTTACCACGACTGATACCGAAATTATCTGTGCATGTTAACGGTTGTTGTAAATGCGAATCTGAGTGTGTTTGGTTGTTCGACGCGTTTACACTTAAACTGCTCAATCATTTTGGAAAATAGAGAAATTTTTGACTTTCATTGGGCAAGCAGGCAACTTGTTATTGGGAAAATATAGCTTGATGGATGCAAAATAAGTGATAAAAGTTGCTAAAGAGATTTAATCATAGTTGTGGTTATAATATCCAATCGAGATAACGTTAAAATGCACATTTAGCATTTCTCATTTCTTAAAAATAAAATGAAATTCAAGAGAAAAAAGTAATTTTTATTACAATTAACACAGACGAAATCGCTGCCAAGTAAGTTTTAAATTAATCCTAGTTTATGTCCCCTTTGCGCTTTAAATATCTGAATATTTTTTGTGGTATTTTGTTAATTAAGAAAGCTAATCTCGCTAATTACTAATAATTAATAATGTACCATCGAATGAATTAGTTTTCTACAGATTTCTCTTATTCCTGTCCCAGTTATTATCGTAAAACACATTCACGATGTTCTCGATACACAAGTGAACACAACACGTCGATGACTGATAATAATTTTCCAATGATTAATGAGTAATGTTGATGGCGTTAAATGATTTCCCGTGTTTGTTCTTCACGCTGAAAGTGCATAAACATTTAATACATATGTGGCGCTGGCGCACTTTGTAACATAGTTACTCACGAGTACGACTATGAAATGAAATTATTATTGTTTGCTTGGCATTAGATTTGATTGAGAGCGTAACTAGCCACCTCAAGGTCACTCGGCGCATTGCATGCATAAACACGCAGCATAGCTGTAATAATAATACAAGAACGAATTTGAAACACGAAGCCACGACACGACATTTAACAACTGCGCGCGCGCGGGCGGTTATATATGTAATAACAATAACGTTCGACTTTGTTGGCGGCGTGCAATTAATAAACACACAGGAAAATATTACTTAACACAATATGAGTGTATGGATATCGTGATATTCCCCGAAACGTGTTGGAAACAACGCACGCCTTGAACAAAAATTGAATTCATGAACAATTTGCATTTATATCGATTAGACATTCATGCGCCGTGTGCCGTGACACTAAAAATAAATACGCTGAATATTTAATTTTTTAATTTCAATTTTTGTTTAACTCCTACCCAATCCTCTCTTTATATTTAATAATTTATTATTTTATTTTTATTTTATTTTGCTATAAATGTTGGCTGTTTGTACATTTGTCGTTTGTTTGTTTGTTTGCAGCCAAAAAACAAAATGGGAACGCGTTCCGAACGAATAGCCTCGGGAGCGGCACGAGGACGCCGCCCCTGGAGCGCAAGAGTAAACTGTCGGCGCTGGGCAAGTTCTTCAAGCCGTGGAAATGGAAGAGGAAAAAAAAGTCGGACAAGCTGGAAGCCGTATCGCGAAGTGAGTACTCCATACACGTATCACGAACTCAAACAAAAGTGTTTGCCTTATTATTGATGTCGGTAAATATTATCAATAACGTTTGTTTTTGTTTTTTTTTAGCGTTAGAACGTAAAATCTCGGTCCGAGCCAATCGTGACGAACTCGTCCAGAAAGGTATTTTATTACCGGAGAGTCAATTCGCGCCCATCTCCGAACCAGGTGAGAATTATCTACTTATACTCTTCTTTGTTTTGTTATTTTAATTGTGGCTTTTTTAGGAGAACCAATTCCGTCTCCAATGTATCCAAATCTATCGTCGTTGAATTCGAGCTCAACGACTACGACGACGATGAGCCAAGCAAAGTACCAGCCTCAGCAGCAGCAGCAAGCTGGGCATCAGCAGCAGCAGTCACATTATCTGCAACAACCACAGGGACAGCAGCAGCAGCAACAGCAAAGTCCGCAGGGACCGCCACCGGCGTATCCTTCGCTGCCGCCCTATTCACACTTCCAACATTCGATGCTCCAGCAGCAGTTGATGCAGAATGCCCAGTTTAACGCCCAGGCTGGTGCTAACAATATGGCAAATTCCAATGGTGAGTACAAATCTATTTTTCACTAATTTTTCAAAGAAATATTGCGTTAATGTTAGTTTAACATAGGCAACCAATACTACATCTAAATTCTACATTGATTCAAGTTACACTAGAAAAACATTTCTATAGGCAACCAATGTTACTCTAGTTGAGTTGAAATGTTTTTCTGCTTTGAGGGTGCATATGCACACAGTATACCTTCCGAGGGTTGTCCGTTAGGTGTCGCTAGGGCGCGTCGCATCGCAATATCGCTGCGTCTCTGCGCGCCGCCCCCGGCGCGCGTTCGCCCGGCGTGCTGTCGTTGTGTTAGTCCTTCGTGCGGCTCAACGACGACGGCATCGTCGATCCGAATTATCCGCGTCGTTCGCGGCGGTTGCCCGAACCCACCAAACAAATACACCACACCGCCGACAATCGGTGGGCGGCAGTCGGCGGTTCGTTACCTCCGTCGGCCGGCGTTGTTCTCCGTGCTGGAAAATCAGCTCGTTGTGCTTGCGGCCGCACTAATAGGCGAATATCGATTGATCAAAAACAAGCTTTACACGAAGAGAAAAACTAAAAAACATTTTTTAAATTTATTTATTTGAGGGTTGCAAAATTGGAATGTGCCTTTGAGTTGCGTGTTGTTGTGTGTTGTCAATCAAATCAATTCGCTTCGGTGTATTCTGTCATCCCCGATCGCATTTGGTTTCGTGTTTTGAAGCCATAAAGCAAAAACGACTCGCTGTGAACTTGTAGTGCCTCGGATTTTTCACCCGGCAATGACAACAACTACACGGATTGCAATTCGTCTTTATATACAATCTGTGTCCGTCGCCGGACGAGCGAGACATGTATGCGTGTAGGAAGTAATAGGAATAACGCCGCGACCTGCTCCTCCTCGCGCTGCACATTTCGGTGGAGGTGGCGGTCAGCGTCACGCTTCCATTCCGCGCAATTCAATTTTATTCATCGGCGAGCACCGCGATCTACTGTTATTTAATTTTCTAGTCTCGCAGTCGCATTATAAAAAAAACGTAGCAGAGTGACATTGTGTTTGGGTCACTACTTGATGCCCGGCGTCGTCGGGTGGGCGTTCAGTTGACTCTCGCTGCTCGTTGTGAGCGGCTGGTGGACAATATGCGAATCATCCGCGTGTGTGATCTATGTGCGTGCGTTATGCAATAGCCGGGAGAATTCTTCGGGACGTTGAGAGCGCTGGCAGTGGCGGGCGCGCTCCCGTCCGTCATCAATGATGGGCTACATCATGGGTTGTACTTGCTTCAAAGGTATCCCTTCACCACCTGCAAACTCTTAGTTTAGTTTTGCGTTTTTGTGTAGTGTTTTGTGCGTAGAAATGCAATTTCTGAGTGATTGTCATAATTGTCAGCGGTACGATAAGTGTCTGGAGAGGATTTCCACCGTGGCTGGATGCGTTGCGGATTATTTGAGTTTTTGTAGTTGTTTCTTTGTTACAGGTAATTGCTTTTATTTTTAATTTTTTTGGTAGCGAGTTTTGGAATTGTGTCTGTCTGTCATTCATTGAGGTGGACATCAATTATTTATTCAATGCATTGAAATCACCGGATGCTGCTTTGTGCGATTGTTTACCTCGCTATTTCGTGTTCGGCATTTGTTCGCATCGAGACGACTAAAAGTTTATAATTATACTAATTCCATGTTTAAATATGTACATGTGTTCGTGTTTGTATAATAAGTGCGCCTTGCACGCTAATTTTGATTTAGTTTGAGTTTGAGTCTTTTTTTTGCACGTTGGATTAAATTGAGAAAATGAGGAAATTAACTGCGGTGATTGAGTTTTTTATGAAGTAGTGCATATAAAATGCTTGCTGTTGCTGCTGTAAGTAAACTATGCAATACAGTTAGTGATTATCTAGTGGTTTGTCGTGTTAACATTTTATTTTTACATCTACACTAAAGATAATTGACTAATTTTATTGCTTACTTTATTTGATTACTCGTATTTCTTCAGTGGTATTATAAAATAGAAAAAATAAAGACGTGGGTTTCATAGATTATCCTTGGAAGAGTTTATGGTATGGGGAAAATTATTATCATGAATATATTATTAAAGTATAGGTATTTATGTTCTTATCCATCGTTATCTTGTATTATCTTGTTATATGGGACATTCAGCATTACATCTGATCAAATTTTGCTTGTTGAGGGTAGTGTAGTGAATTCCGAAATATAAATAAGTTTTTGATAATCAATGTTTTTACTCTGCTTTAATTTTTCAAATGTTTATAACTGGGTAAAAATCACATATCAGGACGTTTTTTCTTCTTCAAAATACTTTTTTATGCATATTTATTGACAAAAGTAATGGAAAATATGCAAACCTTATTTCTATAAAGTTTCCCAGTTATGATATTATCGACTTCTGAAAATTGCATACTTATCGTTTTTCTTGAAATTCTAATTTAGTAAAATAAAAATATGTGTTTTTACGCATAATATTCCCCGTTTTTATTCAGAAAAAAGTTTAAAGTGACATTTTTGCACATGTAAAAATAAAATGCAGTTGCTTTATTTTTCATGCACTAATTGTGCTCACTTACTGTATTAATTTAACTATGCAATACAGTTAATTTGTTCACCCAACATTTTTACATCAACACTAAATAAATTCAACATTCTGGTATTTAATACCACTCATTTCTGAAAACTTGATTTAATATTTTTTTCACAATTTCACTAATTAAAAAATTAAATAGATCTAAACGGCATTATAATTTGCTATAAATTTATAGAGGTATACTCGTATAATTGCGATTGTAATTAAGATTCACCAAGGAGTGTTGTGCTTATATAGATATGTTTGATATTTCATTTTTACGTTTCGCTATTTGCGGTCGGGCGGTAGGCCGGTTGCGGTTCGAGTGGGCATGATGAGCATTAGCGACCGCGCAAAAGTAAAGTAGGCACCAGCCAACATTGTTCTGCGCTCTGCGGCTGGGCGAACGGTTAAATCGTCGGTAATTGCGAATGCGCATCGCGACTAGCTTTTTATTCATATTATATTTCTATTGGTATCACTTGTGTTCACCGTTGGAATAATATTATAATATTAGGAGAAACATAGACGTGAATGAATGTGAATAATGTTGGGGCGTCAATGATCGACGTAGTAGGTTTATGTCGGGGCCTAATTTAGTTATTGTATGTGCAATAGGTAATGCATTTCTTTTTTTATTAAACCCACTTTGAATATAAAGTTAGGAGTAGTGTTATGATGAGTTTGTTAATTCTATTTTAATCGTTGTTCGGAAATTATTTTATGCAACAATAGAAAGTTTTATTAACTTTTCGCAGATTAATTTACTAAATATTTATTTATTTGCTTTATATTATAAATTAAATATAGAAATTCATCAAGTATAAGCTTCAACTATTCAAAATTTTAACATTTTTGACTTGATAACGATATCATCGTAACAATTCTGGTATTAATAAAGTATCAAGTGCGCTAAACGGTATTTTAACGAACCTATAGTACCTATAGTCACGGTCTTGGCCATCCGTGATTAAAGAACCATTTTTCGTGTCTTAAAACCGTGGAAAAAGTGGCGCTGTAAGGAAGGAAGTAGCAAAAATATGTTTTGTAATATTTTTTACAATTTAACAGTTTTTGGATAACTTTAACTGTCGTTAATTGTCCGAAAAGTAAAAATTGAATGATTGAATCAACACTCGAAATTTTAATAAGTTTAAATTAATGTATTTTTATAGCTTAAAATTCACCATGCACATTAAGAAAGTGCTATTTTTAGATTTAATTAAAATTGTGAATAGGTACTTATTGATGTTGAGCCAATTTTTGAAATTTTAATCGCACACGTGTGCTGTATTTTTTTATATAACTGCATGCGCATATAATTTACACACTCATTCGTGAATAATATTCACTGATGGGAGAGCTGCGAGCATCGCTTTAATGCCTGATTCCGAGGCTGAGTGCGCCTTGAAAAGTCATCAAATTAATCACTCCTACACCGAAATTATAACGACACTCAAGATTTTATTCGTATATGATGCACATTTCAAAAAAGTCTAAAAAAAACTTTCAAATTAAATCAAATATTTCTCTTCCATAAGTTAATTTAATTTGAGGCAATTGAAAATTGAAAACTTCGGGACGATTCGAAAACAAGGCGATTATAAAGTGGAAAACTTTCCGTTTACTCTCTCGGATCACTAAAGTATTGCCACCGCCGCCGGCTGGGGGGTTAAATACATAAACATTGCACATTGGCCGCGTGCGCCTCGCGCTCGAACACCACATCAATATCCTCCGGACGTCAGGACGCCGACCTACGGGAAAACTTTCCCTTCGAATGCTGGTACATTATACTCTCATTTGGACGAAAAGGTGGAGAGGAGAGAGGAGAGGAGCGAAAAAGTTCACATGAACCGCCATGGCACGCACGCCACATACCTCTATTCACTTCTATTGATGCGCGTGAATAAATAAAGCCGAACAAGCGTATAAGCGTATTATTATTCAATCACACAAGCTGATTTGATTTGGTTTGACTTGATTGGATTGTGCACACGAAATTATACATACGTAAATTTAATTCTTTGTATTTGATTAAAATTTATCAAGGATAAGAATTTTAAATGTTGACACGTTTTTCGTTTCTCGGTTTTATTGCGGGCGATGTGTGTCGGGATTGAATAATGGATCAATTTTTTCGACGTCGCTTCCAATGAGCCTAATGGAACATTGAAACATTCGAGTGGATAGTGGTTCGAAGGTTGTGAGGGTTGCGAATATGGGTTTTAGTTTTTTTCGTGTGTAGTGTGTGGGTGTGTGTGGAGTGGACTGACTGTGAGACAGTGTCTGGGTTTTCATGTGGGAGCTTTCGTTCGGTAGCACGTTTTTTGATTGATCGACTAGATGGGGGGTTGATTCGCGTACATCTACTTTGCCAACTAGCACCGGAGTAGGAGCTTTATATAGTTACTGTAGTTTTATTAGGTAGAAAGATGAGGTT